TACATGTTTGCTTCGTCCGCATAAGTTGTTAAACTAATGTTTTTATGCCTAAAAGCAACTGTTGAGCTACTGAGCTTCTTCAGTAGCATTGTTTCGCAAGATTATTTAAGAGACGATGATTGTTCAGTTAATATATTCACAGTTTATTGTACTTAAGTTAATATATATGTTTTATCCAAAACTAGCGAAAGGTGTGCGGATTTGATAACGAGAGTTAACGATTGGTCGACTGAAGACGCGGGGGCCGGTTCAAGACTGTTGAAGTTGTTAGGTTTATGTAAGGTTTAGTTTAGAACTCTGTGGCAGGCAGGTCACTGTGCCAGACAGCAAAACGTTTAACTACGGTGATGATCGAATCTGAAGTGTCTTCTGCTTTCTCTCACGAGCCTCCCCCACAGCGGCTGTCGAACGCCGACAGAGAGCAAAGCACCAGATAGAGCATAAGCAAAGCAAACAAAACGGTAATAAAGAGAGACGTTACATTTAAGAGATGTTACATATGGTCTCATTGTTCATTGTGCTGACATGGGCCGGCGCTTAGCCGAACATACTCACCCCGTTGAAGAGCACGGGTCTTTAACATCCTTATTTTGCAGCACCGTTGTTGTCTTCAGCGCCGTCTTCAGTACCGCTACTGCGGACTTTATTGTTGACCCTATGCTGGGTCGAGCGAGGGGCCACTTCAGATGAGCTACCTGAAAATAGAGAAGCAGAAAGTGGAGCTGCCTTGAGAGACGGAGAAACCTCTCCTGCAACTATCCATCCCAGTCTGGTCTCCTGAAGACGTGGCAGTCCAATTCCCAACTTGATATTGCCAGCGCATAGAAGCTCGAAGAACAGAGCCGCTCCAATCAGAATATCAACTGGCTGGGGCTGGTGAAACTTCTGATCCGCCAGAGGTATGTTGGAGGGCATGTCCCAGCGATTAATGTCGTGGATACCGTTGGGTTGGTTACCCGTAATGGTTGGAGCAATAAGTGCCGTAATGGTCGCGGCATAGTTGGACGCGTGTGATTCCAGTTGGATATCGACGCAGCATCCTTCGGATATGGCACACGAATCGCCTAGACCAGAAACGGAAACTACCGACTCTTTCTTCTGTAGCTGCAACTGTTGAGCCAGACGAGAAGTTACGAAATGCACCTGCGATCCAGAATCGAGCAGGGCACGGCAAGGAATCAACATCCCGGAGCGACTCCTTACGCTGATTATGGCAGTGGGCAAAACCACAGCGTCCCGTCGATGACTCTGGGCCAAGAGCGACGTGGCTGACGATGTTACGGCATGTTCAGCGACAGAGGGTATCGCGGGAATTCGTAGAGTCGATGTTGATTTGAACAGTTGAGGCAGAATGGCTTGAGAAGTGTAGGACGAAGACTCGAAATGAAGTAGTGTGTGATGCTTAGCACCACATACTCGGCAGGATCGTGAACGACATTCACCTTGCTGATGGCCTGATCGGAGGCAGTTGGTGCATAGGGATAGCTTATTAGCTTCCTGGAGCCGAAGTCGAGGAGAAAGGTTGCTGAACTGAGAACATCGATATATCGAATGTCCGGTATCGCCGCAGAGCGCGCAGGCAATCGGCTTGAAGGTAGTTGCAACTAGGCAGTGTTTCCGATTGCTATTAGTGTACATGTCCTTAGCGTGCTCCTGAGTCTCCAACCTCTGGCATCTCTGCTCCAGAAAAGCGGTAAATTGCTGGCTTGTGGGTATGCTATCCATTGACGAGCATTCCTCCCACTTGGCTTGTGTGGCGCTGTCCACTTTCTGTAGCAGGCTATGTATCAGAATGCATTCAGCAATCTGGTCATTTGTCCCCACACTCTGCAAGCCCCGCAGATTGGAATTTGCAGTATCTGACAATGACCGGAGTTGGGACACAGGCGAGGTCTCAATAAGCTGCCGATCTCATCGAGATCAATCCTCTCCAGGGCATTATGGTGCTCGTTGAACGAAGCGACCAGATCCGCCAGCAACTTTAGTCGCACACTCAACTCCTCCTCACTGAGTTCGCCAATCCTCTCCTTGCCGACGGCAGTTTCCATTCTCCGTGCTGCCCCTACCTTGGATTGCACCTTGCCCTTGTTAAATGCAACGTCCAACTCGGGAGACAAAGGTGAGGGACGCAAGAGTGAGGGGGTGCTATTAGAAGCCACTGCGTTTTAGAGTCACTGGGACACAGGGGTTTACAGCCGGTGAATAACCCCGAGCAGTTTGATCTGAGCTGCACATCTGACAACAACAAAGGCATGCACGCTGAGAGCACGAAACCGAAACGAAACAGCAGCAAGCAAGCAGACCGCAAAACAGATGACGCGAGAACCGTTTCTGTTGCTTGTGCACATACGACAAACCGAAAAAACCGTGGTTCAAAGCAAATTTATCCAACGAAAATGTTATGTCTTTTGTGATAAAATCTAACGAGTTTATGTTTCTATCACGTCGGGGTCACCAAATGTTGAGCTACTGAGCTTCTTCAGTAGCGTTGTTTCGCAAGATTATTTAAGAGACGATGATTGTTCAGTTAATATATTCACAGTTTATTGTACTTAAGTTAATATATATGTTTTATCCAAAACTAGCGAAAGGTGTGCGGATTTGATAACGAGAGTTAACGATTGGTCGATTGAAGACGCGGGGGCCGGTTCAAGACTGTTGAAGTTGTTAGGTTTATGTAGGGTTTAGTTTAGAACTCTGTGGCAGGCAGGTCACTGTGCCAGACAGCAAAACGTTTAACTACGGTGATGATCGAATCTGAAGTGTCTTCTGCTTTCTCTCACGAGCCTCCCCCACAGCGGCTGTCGAACGCCGACAAAGAGCAAAGCACCAGATAGAGCATAAGCAAAGCAAACAAAACGGTAATAAAGAGAGACGTTACATTTAAGAGATGTTACATATGGTCTCATTGCTCATTGTGCTGCCATGGGCGGGCGCTTAGCCGAACAGCAACTATAAACAGTGTTCAGCTAAGCGCCGGCCCAGGCAGCACAAAGAGCAGTTATGTAAGATATGTAACATTTCTTAATGTAACGTCTTACCGTTTTGATTGCCTTTGCTTATGCTCTTGCTGAGGCTCTGCTCTGTCTCGGCGTTCGTCAGCCGCTGTAAGGGAGGCTCGTCAGAAAAAGCAGAAGACACTTCAAGATCGATCATCACCGCAGTTAAACGTATTGCTGTCTGGCACAGTGAGGTATAGGTACATAGGTATAAACGCTCATAACATAAATATATTGTTTTCAACGGTCTTGAACCGGCCCCGGCGTCTTCAATCGACCCATCGTGAGCTGTCTTCATCAAATCCGCACACCTTTCGCTATTTTTTATGATACTACATATATATTGAACTAAAGTACAATAAACTGAATATTTTAACTGAATAATCATCGCCTCTTTAATAACCTCGCAAAAAAACGCTATTGAAATCTACTAGCTCACCAAACAGTACGACGGAAAGGGGGTAACCTTGTGGGATACAATTGTGAAGTGAATATTATTGACTAGAGCTCTGAAGGAGCGACGTGTCATGAAGGCTTTGAAAAAGATACTTGATTTTTCTTTAATAACCTCGCAAAAAAACGCTATTGTAATCTACGAGCTCACCAAACAGAACGACGGAAAGGGGGTCAGTAACTGGAACTGCAACTGGAAGAAAGTGAATATTATTGACTAGAGCTCTGAAGGAGCGACGTGTCATGAAGGCTTTGAAAAAGATACTTGATTTTTTGAGGAAAGGGCGTCTGTTGAATTTTTCGTAAAGAGTTAATAGTGCTGTGTTTTCGCTTCAAAGCAACTTGGTTGTGGGATAGAAAATTGTTAAGTATCTTTTAGATTTTATTATAAAAATCAGAAATAACACTACTCGACAAAATCCAATTTGTTTTCCTCAAGGATCAAAACCGACTTTTTCTGATAGATATGGGACTTTAAAATTTTTTAAGGAATTATGGTTTTTTTCTATGGCAGAACTTTTTTTAAGAATTTTTGAATTCTTTTTTTAAGCTTTTTTCAGTTTTTTTCACATAACTCTTGTATCGTACGTCTGGTTGTATTTTGAAAAGAGAATTAAAACAGCTAGAAGTTAAGCCTAATGTTAAAGGCACGAAAACCCAATAGTCGGCATATTGAATTTCTCTCTTCGTTACAAACTGTAACTTACAATACTTTATATTACAGCGGTTTTAGAACAATAGCGGATGGTATTATTTATCCTGTAAAGACATATTGAAGTGTAGATCACAAATATATATATCTCTTTCCAATATACACCTCCCCGGTCAAAAGATATTTGCATACATTTTTTTATTTTTTATTTTAATTATAAAAGTTTAGTCTTTTATGATTTTTATACCGTACTCAAAGAGTTAAGGTGTGTATTGTATTTTTGGTAAAAGTGGATGTGTGTAACGCAAAGATGGAAAATATATATATTTTTGATCAGCATCAGTAGCCTAGTCGATATGCCATGTCTGTCTGTCCGACCGTCCGTCTGTCCGTCTTGTTTCATGCCTTGTTCTCAGAGACTATAAAAGCTAGAGAAACCAAATTTTGTTTCCAGACTCATATGATATCACACTGAATCAATTTTGTTTCAAAATTTTGTAAGATATACATTGTAGGTGTAAATGACAGATGGAGCAAAAAAATCTAAAATAAGCTGTGAGCTTATTTATATACTGACTGAGTACGGGTATAAAAGGAGAGCGCGTCCAAAGAAGCTACTCAGACGTTGCTTTTTGCTTTTCATGATTTTTATTAGAGAAATTGGTATTAAAAGTTTAGCATGTTACGGGAACCTCTTCAAAAATTAGCGTAGCTGTATTTTTTTTCATACACCTAGGAGACATTTTTTCGATTTTGATTTTTTAAACTCATAAGTCTTATTTGTGATCCCTATCTATAAACGATCAAATTTTAGTGTCGAATAAATATCAACGGGACAGATGGTTACTAATAAGACACTTATAATATTTTTTTTTTCTTTTTTCATATTATCTTAGGATTTTCCAGCTATTTTGTATCCTATGAGTTTCTAATGCGACAGAGAGAAATTCCTAATATCCCATACACTCTTATGGCTGGAGGCTGTGCTGGAATAGCGTCATGGCTAGCCTGCTATCCCATTGATGTAGTAAAAACGCATATGCAAGCAGATGCTCTAGGAAAAAATGCTAAATACAATGGATTCATCGATTGTGCAAAAAAGGGCTTTAAAAAAGAGGGTACCTTCTTTTTCTTTCGAGGATTGAACTCTACTCTGATACGAGCTTTTCCAATGAACGCAGCTTGCTTTTTTGTGGTTTCATGGATAATGGATATTTTCAATAAAAGTGGTATGGATATGGTAATGAGCTCTGATAACCCACTATATCTTGTAAACTTAGAAAATACGACCCAAGATAATCTGGGGAACACGTCCTCAAAAATTGAAGAATTAGTAAGAAACATTATAACTGACGACTCTATTTTAGTACAATTTATTTCCACACATCAGGACATAACTCCAAACCACTTTACAAATAATATTTATAACGATTCTGATGATTTAAAAAGCCATATGGAATCTAAATAAAAATCATAATAAAAATCGAATATCTATAGTTCTCTAGTTGAAGTTTTATTTATACATTTTACTCATATACCCTGGCTATATTACATCCGCGTACATTTTACTAATAGACAGGCGGACTCATTTTTGAGCACATAAATTATATTTATTACAGACCAGCGTTAACAGTCGATAGCCAATTCTTTCCTCCGTTATATTACACTATGTTCGGAGCAGGCGCTGGCAACAAGCTCTTTGCGCTAGCTGTCGCTCTTACCATCAAACGCTCGCTCACTGATCGTGGATCAAGCCCGAGTGTTGAGCGGGCTGAGTAATTTGCATTGCTCTTGAGAGCGGGGGAGTCGAAACCGTGAGAGCAAACGGAACGAACTAATATAGTCCAACGACCCTTGAAAAGTAGATATATGTTCAGTAACCCTTCGTCATAAAACACACGGCTTGATTTTGTTGCTTGTCGAAAATAAAGCCAAGTTTGTTAAGTTTAAACGATTTCGCGTTCTGACTATCTTTTTTTGGAATTTATTCAAGCGGTCGGAAAAGCCCGACGGAAAAGCTCAGAACATTTTGAGGTTCTACCGAGATATCCATGTATATCGTGTTTCGTGCATAAAGTGCATAAAACATACTCGGGAAGTCAGCAGTTTAATATATTGTACAAACATTATTGTGTGCTATCAGCAGCAATAACGGAATCGGAACCGCTTGAGTACATACATACAGCATAATCGTATGTGCGCTGCTTGATTCCGTTGCATTTTCGGTCTTCGCTTTCGCCCTCGGTGCTAGTGCAGTTCAGTTACATACATAAGTACATACATGCGTACGGGCATTTGCCGTTGCTTTCGTAGTTGCAGCTTTCTACCTGCATTCGCTGCCTTTGACCGCACTGTCGCTCGCATCGTTAGATCTGCGCAGACGGCTCGAAAAACTATGTTTCGTGGAGAGTTTACCGTAAACTAGACAATCACATAAATAAACTAAAAACTAATATAAAACGAGAAGGAACGTGCGAGTCGCTTCTGGGAACGCGACTCTACTCGCGCACTGAACGATAGGTAGAGAGATAGATAAAGAGATAGGTAGCGGGTATCTGGCAGGAGGGGGCGGAAGAAACAACAGAAAATTAATTTATTCATTCTGGCTATACTTATGATCCGATCTTATTCTGATTCGGCAATCTGATAGATATGGGCATTTTCTACGATACTGTGTTTTTAGTTTAGTCGGAAACGTTTCCTTCTCTGCGTTACACACATCCACTTTTACCAAAAATCTAATATACCCCTTAACTCTTTTTTGAGTGCGGGTATAATGAGTGACTCCAATATAAACATCGCGTCCACCTCGGATGTCACGCCGTCGAGTGGCGCTCCAGTTGGTGAAGTGGCGGCTAGTGCTGATTCAGCTACTAGCCGAATTGCATTCTTGACCCTCAAGACAAGGGCCATCTTCGACCGAGTTCAGGCCCTGTGCTCCCAATTGAACGTCGAAAAGTTGCGAAGCTTGGACGAGTAGGATCTGAAAGGCTTTGTGGATCTGTTGGATAAATTGGAGTCGAATTTTTATGTCGCTCACGACCGATTGGAGAAGCAGCATTTTCAAGCTATTACTGGCGACTTGCCTGGGCAGTTCGGTACTGCCCAAGCTATTACTAGCGACTTGCCTGGGCAGTTCGGTACTGCCTTGCTAAAAGTGAAAACCCTACTGCAGCGTGAGTTAGGCAAGCACTCAAAGCCCACGCACTGTTCCACTTTTCGGATGGATCCCAGCGAATCGCAATCCATCATGTGTATGTATGGCCAATCGATCGCGCTTGCCGCAGCTGCAGCTGCCCAAGTTCAGCGGAGCCTATACCGAGTGGTCAAGCTTCTATTCAATGTTCACTGCTGTCATTGATAAGGAAGCTGATCTGACTTGTATCGAGAAGTTGCAACATTTGCGATCATGTTTAAGCGGCGCGGCATTGGACACCATTAGTTCGTTGGAGATAAACCAGGCCAACTATACGACTGCATTAGATATCGTACCCTGGTAAACGTTGATCACGCCTCGCATCGGAATTCTGGTCAGGTTAGCAAGCCAGTAAAGACCTTGAATACGTGCCATAAAAAATCATTCGTTGCATCGGCGGGCTTAGGTTTTTGTGAGCCATGCCGTGCCCAAGACCATTTGATTTCGCAATGCAAGCGATTTGAGAAAATTTCTCCTAGAGCGCGGTATAAGGAGGCCAAGCGACTGTCACTGTCATTAATTGCTTGCATAAGGACCATCAGATGCGAGATTGCCGATCAGGTCCATGCCGTACCTGCCAATCAAAGAACCATACGCTGCTTTCTAATATGCCATCGACCGTATCTACACAGTCTATGGACAAATCTGCCGTTGTTAACCACAGCATTGCCATACCTAGCTCGATGGTCGCAATTTCGCCCAGCGCTCCCCAGTCCTCTCGTATCTCGTCTGATGTGGTGCTTCTAGCAACAGCTGTTGTGCTCATCAAGGATCTGGCTGGCACGTATGTACCATGTCGAGCTCTCTTGGATTCTGGTTCCCAAGTTCATTTCGTCACTTCTCGGTTTGTGGAGCAGCTAGAACTTCGCAGTATGAAATCGTTGGCTGCAGTTTCAGGCATTGGAGACGTCAGCTTTTCCACAGAAGTTTACTCAGTTGATCTCGTCCTAAAATCTCGAATCTCGGAGTACTCAACAACCATGAGGGCCATTGTAGCTTCGCGGATAACAGACCAGCAGCCTAACCATTCGTTCAACATTAAATCTTGGAGCGTACCGTCGAATATACAGCTTGCTGATCCATCGTTTTTCGTACCACAGCGAATTGATTTGCTCATTGGAGCAGATCTGTTTTTTTAATTGCTGTGCGTTGGCCAAATCCATTTAGCTTCGGTATTGCCATTGCTGCAAAAAACACTCCTTGGATGGGTGTTCTCGGGAGGCTGCAATCGACTGCCCCAGTCGTCATCATTCGTTGCATCGCAAAGATCAACGCCTGTGCCTACCCCAGTTGTCCAGTTAGATGAGTTGGTTCGTCAGCTCTGGGAAGTAGAACATGTCTACGAGCCAATCTCAAGGATGTTCGCAGAAAAGCTTCATTGTGAAGAGCACTTCAAGCAGCACTACAGTAGGTTGCCTACGGAGGAATACTCTGTTCATCTGCCGATGAAGCGGGATGTAGGTCTGTTAGGCGATTTGTATTTGCAAACCAAAAGGCGATTTGAGAATCTTGAGCACAAGTTTAATCGAAATCCAAAAGTTAAAGAGCAATACGGAACATTCATTTGGACCTCAAGCATTTGTCGTCCGTGCCTAGCTCTTCTTCTTGAGTTCGTCCACAAAGTTAAGGGTCGTGTTCGATAGCTCAGCAGTGACGTCGTCTGGACGTCGTCATTAAATGTGCTCCTAATGTCAGGGCCCACAATTCAGGCGAAGCTCTTCACCACTCTAGGGCGTTTTCGTACATTTCCTATTGGAACTACCGGAGACATTTGTAAGATGTACCGATGTGTGCGCGTGGCAGAGCCAGATTCTCTGTTACATTGTATCTTGTTGCGTGACTCACCCAAAGATGACATCCAAGTTTTTAAGTTGGACACGGTCACGTATGGTACCAAGCCTACTTCATATTTGGCCATTCGTGCAATGCAACAAATCGCCATGGATGAGTCTTCGTCGTATCCATTGGGCTCGAAAGTCGTTTTGCGGGTCTTCTATGTTGATGACATGATATCAGGAGGCGATGCCGTTGAAGAAGTGCGGAAGGTCATGCATCAAACAACCCAACTCCTTGGTCGTGGTAATTTTCGTTTGAGAAAGTGGTACTCGAGCTCTGTAGAAGTGCATCAGGATGTCCCAGAGGCCGACAAGGAAACCCTTCTAAAGTTTGACGACGGGAGTGACATTACAAAGACACTTGGGCTCGTATGGGATCCACGCAGGGACGAGTTCTTATTCACCTTTGCACTCAACATCAGTCTAGGCCGACACACAAAGCGGACTGTGATATCAGTAATCACACGGAGTTAAGATCCCCTCGGTTTAATCGGACCAACGTTGACAAGGGCGAAGATAATTCTTCAGAAGATGTGGAGAACCAAGTTGGACTGGGACGAGAGCTTGCCGCAGGCTTTGGAGAGTGAATGTACCCAATTCTGCCAGGATATTGCCGAAGTTGACCGAACTGACCGTTTGCCGTCATTGAGCGCTTTTACCGGAAGCAATACCATGCAGGCCCGGAGTCGCTACTCTGCTTGATTCGGTTGCAGTATTAACCGATAAGCGGAATAAAGACGCTCATTGCGGAAATGCAACATCTGCAGTAAATATCGGCCTCGTCTCGTAAAGCACATCATGGCAGTTTGGCCAAAGGATCGAGTGGAGAAGTTACCGGCATTCACTGTGACCGGGATTGACTACTGTGGACCTCTCTACTACAAGACCGATGTACGCAACAAGGCCCCACAGAAGTTTTACATATCGGTGCTTACTTGCTTCACCACCAAGGCAGTATGGCTGTGGCGAGTACGTTGTAAAACGTTTCAGAGAGCCATACCACTTTTTACGGAATCGACGGTAAAGCTTTCTTATTTCACACGGCTATGCCTATGTTCGTAGACGTTACTGTAAAGCTCCGATCGTACGCAAGGTCATCTTGCATGCATATGCATGCATTCCGTACCAAAGCTGATAAACTAATTGGAATTTCCCTTTCCAAGATAAGCTAATTGGACTTTTCCCCACATTCCAAGCTCATTAGGCTTGCGCTCTGAGCCTGCCTATGTTTTTTTTTCCAATTTCTACCGTGATCGAGTGCAGATGTGCTTATATTAGCATTGTTAAATAACCTCATCTAACATAACCTCGTGTGCCTTAATAAGGAAAAACGTTTGCAAATTAAATCTATGTGTTGTTCGGTCACTTATACCCATCCGTTCAAGTAAAACAGTGAAGTAAAGTCGTAGCTTCATACAAAAGGCGCTCTTATATATATTTCGGGCATAATTTGGAAAAAAATTGA